GTTTTCCATAGGGGTTTTGCATTTCTTAATCCGCTCCTTAATATGTCGGCTGTGCAAAATGACAAACATCTTGCAAATTTTGCAATATCATTCATCACAAACTGTCAGCAGTGTTTGCAAATCTGACTTGCAAGATCTTTTAAATGTGTTGTTCTTAAAAGGCAACAGTACTAAGTTTTTAGACAAAGTGCAGGAAAATTTAAGCACTTCTGACAAGCAGAAACATTAACAGTAATCATTTTTAAAACACTCGCATCTTTTGCCTGCATGTTTAGCTGTAAATAATGCTAGACTGTATAAAAGCTTTAAAGTAAAAATATAATAAATACTTTTTATTATGTTTCATAAAGGATAAAAAAAAAATGCCATGAGCCATGTGTATGCGTTATCTATACACGTGTATGTATAGAGATGGATAGCTCCCCCTCTCCTCACTACTAACCAGATTGGAGACCTGGGAGGACAGCTTGAAAAAGGCTCTAAAGTCAATTCTCTACTATACATGCTTCATAAAAGATGAATATAAATGCATTAGTTAGACACGGTGAGCTAAATTAGAAGGTCAGGCAGGGCTGGGAGGGCTGAAAAATCACACAACCAATGAGTGTAATTACTCTTTTTTAAGTCTATTAAGTGGTGTTGTTCTATCAAGGCTCAGGGGTATAGGACATGAAGAACAAGATAAAGTAATGTGTATTTATTACTCCCACTGGATCAATTTACCAGATATTTTCAGCTCCATAAAGCAAAATACACAAATGCCGCCTTTGTTACTTTTCGCAAACTGCTTTCTTTTCTCTAAAAGAGGGACTGGCTCTCGCAGAAAAAAACGTTTGCCCTGTGGAGGTCCCCACGCCAGCCCCTCTCAGTGGGGGAATGAGAGAAAGCTGGCAAGAGTTTAAGTAGGATAGGAGTGAGGTGTAGGCAAGGGACAGGGGAGAGGAGCCAGTCACCTCAAGACAGGATTATTTGGCTTTCCAGATCTGAAGGCGAAGTGGGAATGTGGCCACACGCTAACCGTGAGGCGGTCAAGCCCAAGGACTCACATTTTCGTTTTCCCACTGGCTAGCTGTGAGGTCACGGCAAGTCGCCGGCCATCTGGAACTCTGAGTCCCGTGGAATGGGGAGCAGCCACCTTGCAGGGACTGGAGCCTCCGTGTGCTGAAGTCAGGCTAGCTGCCGGAGAGGCCCCTTTGCCAAGATTCTCTCCCCAGTGCCCAACAGCAACACTGCGGGGCCACGGCGTGAAGAAGGAGCAACAGGCTGGAGAGGCCAAGTCACTGCACAGAGCGGTGGATCTGGTTTTCAAGCTCCACGTGCATCTGGGCGGACAGCCCACTCTCTCGACCTCTGTGCTCTTCGAGCACCTGGATGAGGCAGCGCTGGGTGCAGCAGAGGCGTGACGGAGCACCACCCGTGCCCGGGGACCCGGTGCCAACCCACGCAAGGCCACAAGCCCTGCCCACTCTGCCCACCTCGGTGCTCCTGCTCACTGACCACTCGGGAAGACAACTTGCAGTCAACTGGAAGGGGATGGAGACACCTCTGGCCTTCAAAACAGAGAGAACTCCGGGCCCAGTGTTTCTGGAATGCATCGTGCAGGCCAGCGTCTCACAGGCTCTGACTGACCGCAGTCCCCATCCCCTCACCTCTACACTAGCCGCAGAGTCAAGCTTCACCCCAAAGTTCGTCACATGTTCCTCTCCCTCCTGCCAGGCTCCAGAGAGGGAGGCGAGTCCGAATGAAACAGAACAGAACGCTTCCATTTAAAATCGTAGCCCACCCTTCTCCCTGTGCAGATGAAAAAGGAAACCAAAACACACCCGGGCTTAGGATAATTACAGTATTTGAAATTTGTGCATACGGCCACTATCACTAATGGTGACTTTCAGGGACAGCATGATTTACGGAGAAGGATCCAGCTTGCTCCTGATTTCTCATTTGGTAAATGGGAATGATGTCTGCTTTCTCGACTTCTCTCATAAGTCGGGCGCCAAGAAAACAAAGCATGCACAAGTTCTTTGAAAAAGCACGAGCCGGGAGACAAAGGCATATTATTATGGAGAGCCGTCTGCTTGGGCTTTGGAGCAGTTTCATTTGACAGAATATGTGGGTGGTTGTATGAATCTAGCTTTGTCTATTCACAAACACATGGGTTTAATAAAGTGCAGTTTGTTTTTTAAGGTGTGTGGTCCATGGCTCACTGAAACTCTCCTGTTTGACAAACACTGACCATGATTCTAAGAAAGGCAGAGCCCATTTTTATCCCCCTAACAATGGACAGCAGGAGTATAAATCTCCCAAGTGCACAGGAATACCTCAAGCTGGCTCCATCCGCCACTTCCTGACCCTGCTCTTGAACTCTCACTCCACCTTAACATTCGGAGCCAGGAGGACAGCCCCGCTGATCTGAGTCACACAGAGAGCTTCCTGGGGTGGGCTCCAGCCAGAGCCCTTGCACAGTCCGGTGGCTAGATGCAGGCGGCCGAGTGTTTCCTTAACACACAAATCCATTGTGTCCTGATGACTCCTCCCAAACCCAGGAAAAGAGGACTGGGAATTCCACCATCGGGCCACCGGGGATGAAGTGACACGTATCCGTGCTGTTTGCTCACCATTTCTGAATGTAATGTGCGACTGTAAAAATGTCTTTAAAAATACATGAAACTCAGTCCTATATTCCTATTTCTCTTACTTCTTTACGAATAAGAAAAGTACTTCCTGACTTCTTTAGACCTCAACCTTCAAACCAGCTTTATCTTCTGTTTTTTGATCAATATTTACTGAGAGGCAATGGTGAGCCAGAGAACAGTGCTGGAGGGCACCTGCAGGAGTACCTCTTTGTATCCTTACGTGATCCCCATGAAGTCAGCACGATTATTGTCCCCACTTTATAGATGAAGAAACTGAGGCACAGAAGATAAATCACCCATGCAACTGCTCTGCTGAGACTGGATGGAAGGGCCCCCCGAAGCAACAATGCCACTCTTACTCAACTGGCAAATAATCGTAGCCGCCTTTTGTTGAGTGCTCAATAAGTGGTTTTTAAAATAACAGCCAGAAAAGGTAGAAAATATTCCCATCTCCATTTGATAAAGAAGGAAACTGAGGCACAGAGAGGTAAAGAATCTTGGAGGGAAAAAAAAGAATTTTGACCCGTTACATAGCTAGTAAGTGCCCTTGCTCTGAGTCTCACACCTGCCAATCTGATTCTCAAGTCCCTTTAGCAGATTCTAGAGCCATCAAATGCCAAATGTAAAGTCCCTAAATGGAAAATAAGAAAAATCTGGCATTGTGGCCATGCCTTCTTTCTACTACTGAGACACCTAAGGCACTGACCGTTAGGTGGACACATGTCGTTTACATCACTGCGCTATAAAATTACCAATTACAGTCCCTCAGGAAATGCATGGGAGTTAGGTTCTTGCTGGACAGAGGAACTTAAAAGTAAATCTCTCCAAGGCACATCTACACTCCAGACAGAGATTGCTGTTCACTATTACTGTTAGATTATTTAATTGCTCCCCAAGACTAAGTCAGGGTAAAAGAGAAGGATGTGTAGGATGAAGGCCTGCTTCAAAGACAAGGATATGAACAGACTGACACATCATACGATTTCTTCCTCTGCAGTGAGTTTTTACTGAGGTGAACAGCACTGGGCAGAAGGCTATGCTGGGAAGCTGAAGGTTGAGACCGAAGACTGTGTGGTTCTAGCCCCAGGTCTGGGCAGAGAAGAGCCTCTCTTGCTGGTCACAGTTCTTCTCTTCGGTCAGGTAGGGTCCTCCCCTCCCCTACTGGCTCCTTTCATCTCTGCATCAGTTGGGGGGACACCTTTCTCCTGGGAAAGGCCTATTCTCACAGGTGGCTCTGCTGTCCAGGGCACCAGGCTCGCAGGGAGGATGTGATGATAAACTGATCCCCCAAAGAAGTCTGCTGAGCTAGGAAGGGGGCCAACTTCATTTTTGTAAGTGTTTTATGAGGAGAAACAGACTTAGAAAGGACGTATCTCTAGCCTTACTCTGGCAAGGAGAGCACCTCTCATCTACTCATTTAATTTATAATAGTTTTCATTTATGTAGTAAATGAAACTTCATTTTACTGTCAATAAATGGTGAATGGTAGTCCCACTAATTCTGTACTTTGAACTTCTCTGGCATTTAACTATCCTCTACTCTGAGTCCTCGCAGAACTTGGGTTGTATTTTAAATGTACCTAATACTTCCCGTTGTCATTGGTCGTGTATGATGATCTCTCTGCCACAAGGCCCACGGTCCTCGGATACAGAGATGGGGCATTGACAACAGGTACAGAAGAGAAGTCAATACATGTAAACTTCCTCCCTTCTGTGTTGGCAACTAACAACGTACTGCTGCATGACGTGTATCACTCTGTCCTGAATTTTTGTTTAATTTCTCACACGTTTGTACCGTATTTCCAGTTAAGTAGGATGCCTCTGGTGGTAAGAGGCTCTGTCTTATTTGTCCAGTTGCAAGATCTGCCAATATGTTTCTTTTGAGCTCTAGCTGCACCGGGGATAAGTATAAATCCTCACATAGTAGAAAGGCAGTGTTCTTTTTCCTCTTGAGAGTTGGTGTGATGCAGTGACTAATAACCTGGACTTTGGAGCCAGGCTGTATAGGTTTGTAGCCCAGTTTAGCAATTTACATGCTATGTGACCTTGGGCAAATGATTTAACCTGTTTTTGCGTGATTGTTTTCTTCTCTGAAATAAAGGTAACAGTACCAACCTCAGAGGGCTTTTGAAAGGAAGAAATGACATAATATATGTAAAAATAAGTATAACACTACCTGGCACATAAATGCTTGCTACTCTTGGTATTGTTTACCTTAGAGTACCAAGGACACAAAACACACAAATTAACAACTCAAATATTGAGTTGTTAATCTATGAACTAATTTTTATCAATAGCAAAGTTTTCTGCTCATCACTTAAGCCCAAGTGTCCAGAGACTATAACCCAAAAAAAAGAGGTATCCTGACCTTTGGCAAACGCTCAGGGTCGCCAGGGTGCCGAGGAATGACCTTCTGTAACCTCTGGAAACCATAATCGATGGTGGGTTCGTTGAGTGCTGCAATGAAGAAGTCACATGATTAGAACAATTTCAGGAAAGAAAACAGACCATAACACTGATGGTGTGGAAATAACTGGAAGTCCAAAGTTTAATTTATACTTTTGAATTCGATCATGAGGTGATCAGATGCACCATCGCCTTGCTGAACATTTCCACCATCTACTTGTGCTATTTACCACGGCGGGCAGTGATTCACTCAAAAGAACATTAATAGCAGGCCCCGGACTCTGTTCTTCTGCCCAAATTCTATATTCCTTACATAATCAAAAACAGAAAGTGAAATGGCATTTGATGTGAAGTTTTAGGATTCACTAGTTAGAAGCTCAGGTCAAAACACTCAAAGGCTTGTCTGAGGGTGTCTATAGATTATAAACAGCAGGAGAATGACAAGTACTTGCTTAACTGAAAAATGTCTAGTAGACCTCAGCAGATACATCTCAGTGCCTCTGTGGCCATTAAGCCCACAAGAATGGGGTGAGAGGCAGGGAGACAGGATCTTCTCAGCATAGAAAGCCGATTCTACCCTTGGATAGAGTCTGCAAGGTGATAGGTGTTGAAAATACCCTTGATACAACACCCTCACATCTAAAATGACAGACTCATTGACCAACATCAATATTATTTCAGGAAGAAGACCAGCCTCTGGGGAGCACTAGCTTAGAGCAGCTGGGTCTCCAAGAAAAATTCTTAAAAAGGCTAGAAGAAGAGCAAACCTGTAATAATATTTGGAGACAATGGGCCTTATTGTACCCATACTGTCTACACTCTCTTCCAAAGCAGCCTTAAATTAAATGCGATACGAAGTGGACTCTGGTCTATAATTTTCAAAATTTCTTCCCAAGATACGAAATATCTTCAGCCTTCCTCATCTGACCAAGAAAAGATGGCAGCTCTGTCCTCTACCCACATCCCCCATATCCTTTAAGTAATAGACGGGTGGGTGGGTGAGTGTTTTTCTTCCTTTCTTTTTTAGCGTAACTAATGTTTTCAACCACATTTTTTCTACCATACCGAGTAAAAAGACAGTCTTTGTAGTTCTGACATTTAGCTATACATTAGAAAACAAGTTGCCACATGCTTTACTTAAAATGCATTTCCATTAACCTAAATTTTAAAAGTAAGATTCATACTACTACTAACTTTAAAAAACTGTATTAAATTCAAATAGGTCCCAAGGCTAATGGAAGCAATTTGTATACCAACCCAAACTGACTGGCCCACTTTTCAAAATACAGGTATGATAATCTTGTGGTTTTAAAAGGACATTTAAATTGAAAGACTGTGAATTTAGTACATAATTATACCAATAGAACCCTTTAACTTGTCAACTTGTAAATCTAAAAGGCTATCAATCATTTCTAAAGAGGAAATAAACCTTAAAATTCCTTGATTGACAGTGCTTACTTTTTATGTAAGGAAAAAAAAAATGGCAAAAAAAAAAAAAAAAAAGCTGCGTAAAGTGGCCAGAAATCCATTTACAAAAGTACATTGTTTTACACAGGTGAGTAAAAAGCCAATAATTACACCACCAAAAGACACATAAATCAGAGTAAGTACTTTTTCCTCACTTGTATATTTTAAGTTGGAGTGAACTTCAGGTAACTTTTTATTGAAAAGATATTTTCCCAAATGCAATGCTTATTGAAGTTGCTAATAGAGTAGCATTTTCATTTAAGACAATGTAATCATTTTTGCAAATATGAGATTTAGACATCTTCTCCCCCTCTTCCCCCGCTTCCAAACAGTAAACTTTCAACCTGTCTCTTGCGGAAATTAACTAAAATTATACCCAGGTGTACCAAATCTCTCTATCTATACTAGTATATGAGTTAAGGCACAATATTTATTATCCCTCCCATTTTATGAATTACTTTCTAAACCCTTGAGAAGAATTCTTTTTTCAAATTAGATGTGTAGAGAAAAAGCCATAGAACTCTATGCAGGGAAGCTGTTACTCGTAAAACCCACGGTATTTAATCAAGAAATGCATGAAAGGGACAGGAATGGGCACCTAGGTTTAAGTTATGTATCACATCCATCCCCCACCCATAATACTAATTGCCATCAAAGATGTTTAACCATAAAAAATAGCTTTAGACAATTAAATGTATCATTTTAATATCTGGAGACATAATTCAGCATCTTGAAAATTCTAATTCTTGGTTTTATTTTTCAGTCTAAGCCACCAATAAAACTTGAATTGTTGACCTGCTCCTTCGATTGTTTGCATAATGAATTAATTCCTACTGTGTCAAGAAACCCGTGGTTGTTAAATGAATGACTGTCTGACGTATGGGGGGAGGATGTGCTTCTCTGTCCATCCAGCCAACTCAGAGCAGAATGACCAACACTATTATCTGCAATTAAAAGAACCAATTCAAATATCTATATGGAACTAATAGCTAAAGAGCTGAGGAGAAGTCATTCTGCTGCCACAAAGAGTAATTGAGTTAGATATATTAAACCCATTATTCAAAGGAAAATAAGCATCCACTCTATGGAAGTATACTATGTGAGGGGAAATATTTCAGATAGTAAGACAAAGGCTTTTAATTTATTTCCCATGCCTTTATGATCTGCTCTACACTCATACTTTTAAATACATTATCCTGCCCCTAATTTAGGTATTGAATAATACAATGGCATGGTCCAGTGCTGTAGACAAAGATAGCACAAAAAATATGCAAGACAAAGCTCATTGTCTTCAATTCAAAGGTGTCTGATGGTTTCTCTGATTGCTTTGACCAGAGGACAAAAACTGATCCCTGAGTGAGAAGGTCCATCTGATAAAAACTGCTACTTAAAAAACAAAAAACAAAAACAGATGAAATGTCTAGGGAGCAGGATGATTAAATCATGGCATACCAATGGAATGGAATATGATACAGTCCTCAAAAGCAATGCCATGTGGGGGGAGAATATTTACTGACATATAATATATTGCTAGGTTAACAAGCAGATTACAAGAGCATATGTATAATATGATTACTTTTTAGAAAATGAAAATACATAGAATAAAAAAGTGTGTGTGTATAAACGGCTTAACAGTAGTTATTTCAAAAAAAGTGGATCTTAAAGTGCTTTTCTTCCTTTTCTTTGTGTTGTGTATTCTCTGAGTTTTCCACAATGAACATATATTACTTTTATAATCGGAGGGAAAGGTTAAGAGCAAGAGATTGTTGCTGAGATGGAATTTGACCTCCTTGTATAAAGTAATGACATAAGAAACTATGCCTTAAAAGGGGTCTGTATACCCTTTAATAACCTTGCATAGGTTATTACAGACCATAAGAAAAATAAGTAGTATACTTTTGGCCAGTTGTATAAATATGTGACTATTCATAAACTCTCTGAAAATCAACAGAGAGGGTAACGAGGAGGAATCATAAAGAATGGTATATTTATTTCATCAGTGGGGGTAGTCGTACCTTAGGGACATACGTCTACTCTGCAAGAATGTAATATAAAGTTAATCCTTCAACAAAGTGACCTCATTGTATTCAAGCACAGGGCTCAGGAGGCACCAGTAGAAATGGGACTAATCAATTTTTCCCCCTAAAACTTGGGACAATTCCGAGAATCTAGTAGAGAAAGAAAAAAACTTAACTGAGCATAATTAACCACAAATAAAGAAGCATGAGCATCTCAGGTTGAAAAAAGAAAAAACAGATGAAGCTATAAACTACAAAAGGAATGCAAGGATGAGAGAGCATTATGTGACTCTTCTTCCAAACACCTAGTCCACAGTCTCTGAAAAGGGCTGCAACGGGTGTCATCCTAAACCAGGCAGGGACAGTAGCAGAATAAGGGAAGCTCAGAGCTTTAGAAAAATCTGTAATCCCAAATTTAAAAAGGCCCAATTTTTAAATCATCAGAATAGAATGGGAGCAATGTAGGCATTTGAAAAATTCCACAAGATAGTAAATTCTCCATTGATTCAATCATCATTTTTAGTGCTTACCATGTGTCCAGACGGCTATTTGTAGGAATTAACTGTTTTGTGTCGCAACACCAAAAGCCCTGGAAAAGAAACTTCCTGAAAGGTATATGTAATCCAACCCCAGAAGAGGGATGAATTACTCTGTAGAGTCAGAACGCAGCTTCCTTCCATTCAGAAGTGTACCCTCTTGCCTTCCTGAGGCTTAGATGGTGGGTCACCACCTCTGCTCCAGTTTCGCAGGAAGCCTGCCCTAGGGTCCCACTACACTTCATAAGACACATGGATTTAAGGGCAATCAGAGGATTGAGGAGCCACAGACATTTGAATTCAAGATGTTTTCCACTGTCCTGTTTAAACTTGGAGATAGATACATGTTAGCTGAGTAAGCTCAGTTGGACCCCATACAGCTGTGTGCATATGCTACAGTGAGTCTGGAACTTTCCTACAAATGCACAGAAAGCAAGAGCAAATGCTTCTACACAGGAAAGCAAGCTTGCAGGGCAGATGTATCAGCTGAGATTGTCGAAGAGTCCTCTCACTCATAGCTATATGTCGCTGGGGAGTGGAGGTTGGTAGAAAGCAGGTGATATATGCATGGGCATATATATATAAATGATATATTGGCATTTCAGGGACATCCAACTCATTACTTTTCAAAGAGTAAAAGTTAATTAAGTGGTTAAAAAAAATCAGGGGTGCCTGGGTGGCCTGGGTGGCTCAGTCGGGTAAGCAACCAACTCTTGATTTCAGCTTAGGTCATGATCTCAGGACCCTGAGATTGAGCCCCTCATTGGCCTCTGTGCTCAGCCGGGTGTCTGCTTAAGATTCTCTGTCCCTTTCCCTCTATCCCTTTCCCTTCCCCCTCCCCCGCGCTCTCCCATGCATGCTCTCGCCCACTCTCTCTCTCTAAAATAAATAAATAAATCTTAAAAAAAAAAAAATCAAACTCCTAGATCTGGCCTTATGTTGGAACTGCTTATCAATGGCTTTGGGTACTTTCTCAATCTCATAATCTCAGGCTCCCCTAAAGGAAACCAGTAACTTTCTATGCAGCACC